AATAACTGTGAACTCTGCTGGGGGTCTTGTATTTGTAACCTATATGTTCGAGTGTTTCATGTGTGCTAGAAACTGTCGAAACACATAGACTAAATCAAGCGAAAGTAAGCCTACTGTATCGTCTTCTCGGCTGTACTCGACATGTAGTTCTATTGAACGCGTACTCGTGCAGAGACACACAAAGAATGTCCGTCGCCCGATGAGGGTGTATACTTGCGACGAGCCGCTGGATGTCACCAAGTTTTCGATACACGTGCACATATGAATTCTATATATTACCTATGCGACTATATTTAACTATAAACTAGTGCTATGGGTAAAAAGTAAATTCTTTTTTAATTGGGAGAACATATCCATGTCTATGTCTATGTCCAGGCATAGAAGTCGTGCAAACACCTTACTCACCACACACTTCCAGTATCCTCCACAGATGCGCCAAAAACTCAAATCTATTGATAGGGCTCAGTACATATTCATATCTCGGTGCTATGACCACTCATACTCACCGCAGAATACCAACTCTATTTGTAGCACTGAATGCGTGTACATATACACATACACATAAATACTACTACACATACCACCGAGAACAATATATATTTATAGCACTAATTGCATGTACCTATAAACACCCTAGACGTACTATGACCACTCATACTCACCATATAGTTATAGCACTAGTTGCATGTACCTACTAACACCCCAGACGTACTATGACCACCCATACTCGCCATATATTTATAGCACTAGTTGCATGTACCTACTAACACCCCAGACGTACTATGACCACCCATACTCACCATATATTTGTAGCACTAGTTGCATGTAATTACTAACACCCCAGACGTACTACGACCACCCATACTCACCATATATCTGTAGCACTAGTTGCATGTACCTACTAACACCCCAGACGTACTATGACCACCTATACTCACCGCACTCGTTCCGTTTCCGCTTCCGTTGACCGGACAGGCCGAAAACCCACCACTTCCAATCGGATCATTGATGAGCCTTTAAATAGAATAGAATCATGAACATTAATAAAATCAAATCAGGAACCTATAAACAGAATCAAACCTTGAAAAAGAAATGAGTCATGAATCTATTAAAGAATTAAATCATGACCCTATACATACAAGTAAACCGTAAACATATAAATATAATAGTTTATAAACCTATTGATAAAAGCAGATAAAAGTGCTCAGTACGTTCACTGTAGAACAGAACTCTACTTCGTTGACGTATGCGGATCTCGAAATGTAACGCAATGGGTGTTAACGGATTGAGTACAGAAGCTATCTCAGGGAAATGAAAGCTCATACTCCAATTCGCACTCACACTGGTCCTTGACCAAGTGAATCTCGCTGTATATATGCATAAATATGCGAGTCTATATATAT